TGAATTAGATGAAATCGAATTCTTATGAAATATAAATGGATGTGAGTGCCACCGTTTTGCTTACGTGGTCTTATTACCTACTGTGTTGTTCAAAGATTGGTAAACAAGTTACTTTAGTGGTCAGTGGTCATGATTTTCATACTTTCACTCTAGGGTTTTTCTGTTCGCCTTTGTTCTCCTTTCACTTAGTGATCAAGTAGAAGAGATACTGAGGAAGCTTATTCCAAGTCGTGTGTGATGGTGCTGTGATTTAGCCGCTCTCACAGACGCGCTTTGGACCCTATGGTCCGAGGTTAGAGTCCCGCCACCGCCATCCAACCTTGGTGGTGGACAGCTTTGCTGTCGTCCGGTTCAATACCACGCCTGACCTATTGGGGCCTTATGTGGTTCACCACTCCAAATGCCGGGGATTAGGATACCGGTTTCCGTCACTGAACTACAGGTCCTCGTGACTATGGGGTTGGCCCCGTCTGCTGTTCATCAAACAAAATTGTGGAATAAAAAACACCCCAGTTATCACAATACACGAATATCACTCATTTGATTGAGTGCTTCACTACCTATTTCCCACCTGTATTTACATTGTCCGTTATAGTATACCAACGGACTGGTGTTCGAACACCTACATGCTGCTTCGATCGGATAAATGATAGGGTTATGTTTCTGCATCACAGAGTTAGTTTATTCAACTCGGCTATGTTATTTTCGTCTCATAATGATGAAGAAATGTCTCCGGTCTGCAAACGCCAAAATGCCTTCTGAATTCCACAAACAACATTGAGTATCCAAACTTATCACCATTAGAACATTAAAGTTCGTGATGGTGCAATTTGGGTAGTGTTTGCAGTGTCCGTTCGTTTGATTTCTAGTGCTATTTTCGGTGTCATCTGTTCTTCTAAAAACCAATATCGTACATTTGTCTTCTTCAGAAAGTTTCCCGTGACGAATTATTGCAAAAAGCTTTTGCAAAATTGCCACTGTTCGGAAGATCACAGGACCTGTTAAATCGTGCATCGCTCCGCGTCACTCCACATGCCTGATCGCGTCGCTCAAGGCAACTCGTTTCGGGATTGGGTGACTAGGACGAATGAGATAGCTCTCTTCCGATCGACCAATTGCTGTCAAGGACACTATCTGATTGGGGCGTCGCCAGTCGTTCCAGCGCGCCCAATTTACGTATCAGATATCGCATCTTGACCATACACTCTGTTGTTCTCCAGTATTTTTCTCCCTCCCGTATTATTGTTGTTTTCGTCCGTCTAGTCAGGACATAACAACTGGCGAAAAGCAGAGTGGCATTATCTGATGCAGAGCTGAAATCAACCCTGGTGCAGCAGCAAGCTCAGTTTGAAGCGTTTCAACCGAGACTAGTCGAAACTCTTGCGTGTCAATTAACGGTTCAATCTGGCTGAAAACCTGACGCCATCAAGCCGTCCGCATCTGTAGACGCAAGCCATTGTTAGTGCTATCACGGAAAATTTCCTACGACCCTGACTCTGGCGTAACATTTGATTTCTGGTTCAAAGGTTATGAAGAAATTTTCTGTGTCCAGCTGGCAGAGAACGATGACGCATGGGAAATTAGAATGTGCCTGAGGAACAACAGAACATGCAAAATATACCAATTTCATTCTGTAGAAGAATGCTCGTAGCTGCAGCTTCAACGATACTGTGAAGTACATCTTGCAGATATTTGGTGAACAGTCATCCATTTTCAACATGAGGTACCGATGTCTACAGCTAACAGAATGAAGCTAACGACTATGTGATCTATGCGGGCATTACCAATAGAGAGTGAAAAATGCTTGACTTCGAATTTTTAACGACTGACCAGTCCAAATGCCTCATGTTTGTTTGTGGTCTTCTATCATCAACAGATGCAGATATACACACTCGATTATTGAGCAAACCTGAACAGGATAGCATGTGACCCTCCAGACTATCACCAACGATTGGTAAAACTATAGACCACGATACGATAATGCTGGAAAAGCAATCACTAACCAGTCCCAATGTGTTTCAGACAGCCTCCACGGGCCATCAACCAAAAGAATCCAGTTTTACAAAAATCAATGAACGTTCAAAACCCCTCATCAGCCTGTTGTAGGTACGGCGAGTGTTATTTTGTCAAATTTCGCCCAAATCACAAACTCGTCAGTCACAAAGAAACACTTTGCAGATCAAGGACCATAGTTCAACACGTACAACCCTGAATCCTCAGAAGACCCAGCAATTGCAGCAGGCTCGTCGTTGCGACTAATTCCTGGCTCACAGAAAGTACTTCAGAGTGTCGATAAGTGCAAAACCCGTATCATTGTTGGGAAGAAGGAAGAGGTACTGGTATCATACGTCTCAGTAGAACAGAAGAATCAAACTGACGACTGAAGCATCCATTTTTTCTGATGAGCTGTTCTGAACTTAGATGCTTGAAATATGCTAAGCACTGACAGTAGAGAGGTAGTTTCTTCACTGTCGAGGGCACATTCCGCAGTGCTCGAAGCTCGACAAGACAATACTGACAACTTTCGGTCATTTTTGTCAGAGTGTATGGTAGTATACTGTTTTCGCTTCGTTCTTTTTCTAAGCAAAGTGGCACCCATTTTTAAAAGCTCGTTTTCGACTACCTCAGTAAAATAGTGACAAGTAAACTGATGATTCATGTAATGTTTCGGCTCCTGTCGCCACCACAGTCTTTTGTACTGTCCTTTACTCTTAACCCCAGTTCAAGACGAAACCGCCTTTTGACAACACAGCTCATCAGGGAAGGCTCTAACCGCCACCGGTGTAGTGTGCATAAAATGTTTGAACAGTCATAGCGAGCATGCACATTACATACCTGGATTGAAAGGATACATATCTTAAATTTAATAGGTGGAAACTACTAACTCCCATTGTGTACAGCAAGGAAACAATGCAAACTTAATTAATTATTTGCCTTTAATGGGGACATGTATTGGTGTGCCGTATCCGTGAGCTCCGCATCTAGTAGAAACCACAAATCCTTGTAGTTTAACTTGGAGATTAGATAAGGCACGCTTTATTCCTAATGGCATCGTTGAGCTCAACCAGAAGGTGGCTTATTGTAGCAGCAATTATATCAGTTCCACTCTATGTAGATGACGTATATTGTTTCAAAAGATCAATTCAAACAACAGAGCCACTCAACCATAAACAGATCAAATCGATGTCAGGTGAGACTCGTGTAGGATGAACCTGCCAGCCTTGAGTGACCTACAAATGAGAAACTGAAAGTAAAAATTCGATGAATAAGTTTTCATTGATTAGTCGATTTGACATAGCCCATTGTCATAAATTCACTTTGCCCACAGTGGAATTGGTTCTTGTAAAACAAGATATGGACCAGAACGATGCAGATCACCCCGACTAATCGCTACCTCATATCTCATTCACAATGCATACACACACACGCATGCGAAAGCACACGCTTCTAACCAGTGAATACCTAGTAACCCAGGCGTAGCACACCAGATTTTCTAGTTTATAGAATACAGGAGGGTAATGTGTCTTTTACAGTGTTTGCTTGTTTATGATGCACATTTCTAGGTCCACAACGTTCGAAACTATTTTCTGCCATTTCTCTTCTTCTGTTACCTATGCCTTTGGTTTCCATTTTTGTTAGTTCTATGAGCACTAGATTTGCAGATCGATATTTGTAGTATTCTTGTCGTAGTATGCTGCTCCATCTCTATGATGTTCATTTCGATCACAACCGGTCCTAGTTTCACAAGAGAAATTACAAGGCATTCGTGTAGACAGTTCGCATAAACTTACCAAAATCCGAACGCCTCTGCTTTCACCCATGCATCAAGGTTAAAGCCACGATTTGTGGACACGTAGTGTAGATTGTTAACTGTTCGTAGTTTTTGATGTATCCTCTCGGGGATGACAGCAATGACGACAGAACGAGAGCAACTGTCACTTATGGCGTGTCTGATCAGACAAATTGTTTCAGCATCTTTATGAAATGCCACAAATTGTCCATCGACTTCCACAATATGATGATCTGGTTTGAGCCCAGCTTCTGCAGCCGGTGAATTCACTGCGACCGCAGTTACACAACCGTGGTGCAAAGAGAAGCCCAAATCTCGGTGACTTCGTTGTCCACTACGCTTGCCACGGTAATGTGTTGAATCTGTGACAATTGGACAGGGTCCGACAGCGATCGTGAGCCATTGCAAGAAGGGACAAGCCCGTACCCTCAGACCGAACACATCGTGTTCTTGAGGATTGCGACTCAGGTAGGCATTTTCAGACTGCAAAATACAGTGGCAGAATTCCATGATCTGATCACCGTAGTGTAAATCCGGTCGAATTTCAAAATGTTCATAGTCAATATTCGTCACAAAACATTTGACACCAGGAAAAATGTTCACAAGCAAACCAGTACGATGATACTTGCGATATACAGTGATCTCCTTATACTGTTGTTGAAAATTGACATCTTTTGGAGGGAATTTCCTGATTTCACTTTTAAACGCCGAGCACCACTCGCTGAACAGGTCGAGATCACGTACGTAGGCGTATACCAAACCGAGCTTTAATTTGGAGATATCCAATACAGGTTTTCTTTTTGTTTTCTCATCCAGTGCTTTCAAAGAGTGACTGTTAACGATGACCGGTCCTCTCGGTGTTACGCTTAAATGAGATCCATTAAACATTACCCGTCTGTTTGCCACTGAATCGGCAGCTGAACCACTATTCAATTGTTGAATTAGGCAGGGGACATTCTCACCGCCCCATAAACAACGCAATGCGTCATCTATAGATTTAATGGACTTTTGATTGGTTTTACTTTTTTCTTGCACCACGGTCTGTTTGGATTTGACTTCTGGACTTAGGCACGTACAGAGCGGACATTTTAAACACCAGCGGCTTAGGGCACCGTGAATTGGACAGATTATCGGAAACTCATTGCAATTCTTCTCATCGGGCCATTCAAGAGTACAATCCGCAGTAACTGGATGAACAGGTTGATAATAACTATACCATTTAGGCAATTCCATTTCCGCTTCCATGACTAGGTTCTTCTTCCACAAATTCACACGACACTGGCACGATGAACCTTGTGATCGATCAGCTGATTCAACTTACGATCAATCGATAAACAACCCGTGGTTTTACAGTGGTTGTTTATTTGACCTGATGATTTGTGTAAAACAACTCATTCCTAATTCCTCTGCATAGGATAAGCAATCCAATTTAATAAGCTCAAATATTCCACCCCATACCAGGTCTATCATGGCAACTTAACTTGTCACAACGATCTGTCGGCTCCAGAGGGTATTTGCCTTGATTCCCAGTGACGAATCCTCGCAACCATCACAAATCAGTTTTTTTTTCTTTCAAGAGTCGAATGTTCCAAACCTTGAGCTCTTAATTCGCACTCTGTGTTCAATGGATAAGTTTTGAGTGTCGTACTGCCGTTGTGTAATGCACATTTTATCTCCTACATAACACGATCTAAGTGGCTGAGGATACTTTCCTGACAAAGTGAAGCAACCTGTGTTCTTGAGTATTTCGACGCACTCATTAGCCACGTGTTCAAATCTGCTAGATATCTTCTGAATCATCGGCGAAGCAAACTTCACTGATCGCTACTAAACTCGCAATGCATACAAGGTAAGTGGGAATGTGTAGGGATTGGGAGAAGAAAGTGAACCTCTATGGTCAATACACAGTCCAACCGCGCGTGTAAACTATTGGAAGCATTCTAGCCTGAAAAGTGACGACAAGATCGCCACTAATTTCAGTTGGCTGCCATGGCCTTCACTGTCTGAAACCATCCAGTCACGGAGTCTTTTGAACTGCAGCCTTGGAGCCAAGGGACACTTACCCTCTCTAACTACTCTGTGAGTGTCCTCATGCCTCGTCTCCACGTCATCTTCCAGCCTCCATGTGGCTTTTCTCCAGTTTGAATGGGAATTGTAAAGAAAATTGAGCAAACTAATCGTGTTTCACCGAAATTTTTATGATCAAAATGAGTCAAGCACGAAGAATTCCATGTTAATATGAAACGGATCAAGTCTTGTCCTCTCATTCATGAGGTAGCTTCAAGGCCAACTTGCCTACCCACTTTGAAAATGCCCGCTAGAGAGCAAAGGAGATTTTTATATCTGTTCTCATAGTATTGTTACAGTGGACGAATATTTTTAACCTTTTGCGTTCAATAAAGACGTGCGATCCTCTTACACCAAACATGTGAAACGATGACCCCTCACGACGAGGCTGCATTTTGACGTGGTGTTATGGTTTGTGCACTACTCGGACCTAGCGAGTTACACAGGATGGCTTTTTTCATGCCGGAGATATAAACATGCCTAGAAAGTCGATGAGTAGAGGTCAAATAAAATCCAGTCTCCTAATCTTACAGGTTACTGGTTCGAAAAGAATTCGCCTTTCAGTCGGTAAAAATGGTGTAGGATTAAGAGATTCAACTGGTTGGGTCTCCATTTCGCTTAACCGACCGCCTTGTGATTAGGTTTTTGTTAAAACCAAAGGCTTTGGGTGAAATTCCTAGTCGTTTTCCTGCTTAGTGGATGGACACCCTAGCAGTACCCATCCATTATACCCCAATGCATCCACAAACTAAAAATAATTCCATACTCCATCGGTCGTCGCACAGGATTATCAGGACCGCACTGTTCATTGTATCGAGCGGGGTGGGTAGTGATAAATGGGCTACTGCTCAGATATCACTCTTGTTTAATTTTTTGTCTTCCGTACCCAACCCCCTTCTTCCGACCTTTAATAAGCCCTCAAGAAACTTAGATGTCACTCGCCAAAAGTCACTGCCAAATAGCACTAAATAATTTACCACTAAATGGATTACAGATTCTGAAGCCTCGTCAATCACTGAAGCTTTAGGCCTTCGTCATGCGGACTCTGATACAGGTAGGTCAACAAGCTTGTCTGATGTGTACAATAGAATCCTTGGGAAAAATTAAGGATCCAGCTAGTATAAGCCATTTGGTGCTCCGGATTTGTTCTCGACATACGTTCTTCGCNNCAGCACGGGCCAGTGATTGTATTCAGTAACAGGGCAGTGTCCTCTCGTGTCGATTGCCTCCCCGTCAACAGTCGCTTACATGAAATGCGTTTATCATCTTAGCATAGGTTCCGACCGACTGCGGTTCCCACGCACAAAAGGACAGGTTCCACGACAAGCTCATCCAGCTTATTTGGCTGAGTCGAAGTTCCGAAATAACGGCGCTGAGAGATGACTGTAACACGCAAGTTGGAAAACTGAGCGCACCAGAAACTTGTCTAGGCGGTAGTTGTGCTCTGCCCTGTCAACGAACAGATAACGGTGATCGACTTCTTCAGTTCTACACGGATCATCATCTGTTCCTATCTAGCATCAGTTTCGCACATGGCTCTCAACGGGCGGCAACGTGGTCCTCCAATTCAACTGGTACGCTAACTCAAATCGACCACATAGCAGTAAGCTATCGCTGGCGTGGCTCAGTGCAAAATGTCAGATCGAGTTGGACTACTTGTTAGACTTGATATACTAACAAGTGCTACTGCCAAATTCAGTATGTACTTTGCACCTACAAATTGCTAAGTGATGCTGAAAGACTGGGCGTCGTCTACTCCCACTTTGAAACTAAATGACCAGGGGTTAGCTTTCCCTAATTGAGTAGTGTGTCGAATGACGGTAGTGCAGCAAAGGAGATAACCGCCAGCATTTCCAAGGCTTGAGCAGCGTACGTAGGACTGAAACACCGTTGGCATAGACGCGATATTTCACCGAAGTTTAGGGGAGAGCATATTGATCTACCGTTCTTTCAGTTCTGCTCTATGGTTGTGAGACCTTGAGTTTGCGAGTAGAAGATATCCATCGACTAGACGTTTTCGATTATCGATATTTACACGGTTTAGCCCACATTGGACGAAGAGAACGGGTTGGTAATCTGAAGGTAAGCCGTCCTGAGTATGGGAGTCTATCAAGGGTAAACATTATAGCTCATCAAATTCAGACTAGTGGGCTTCGCTGTCTAGGGCACGTATTGCGTAGGCCCAGCTGTCGTCTGCCACACCGCACTTTATTCGCTGTAGCCAATTTGGGCTAGAAAGAAATCACGTGGAGGTCAACAAGTGACGTGGACAGGAGGCACGGAGCTACTAGGTGGAGTAGGTGTCTCGTGCCCTCCAGGTAAAAACGCCGAATGACTAAGCAACCGGCTGGTTGGAAACTTTGAAGGATGTGACAGCAAATCGACGGCAGTGGCATTCTTGTTGCCATTTTTTATCAGGCCACAACGCTTGAAACGGTATGCGTACACAGAAATGTTGTGTTCACCATAGAGGTTCATCTTCCTCCCCCTCCCTTAATATAGATCCAATCCCTGTCTACCTTAAATTTTACCACTAACATTGTACGCATTGCGAGATTGGTACCGATCAGTGAAGTTCGCTTCATTGTTTTTCGCTGTACGACGATGAGGCTCTTTGTGTGCAAAAGAGCAACTGCAAGTAATACTAAGTGGTTCCCACAAAATTATAGCAGACTATCATCACCACCATCTGCTCGAGCGAAAGGCAATCACGCTTTCCGCCATAACTACCGTGTAAGCTATATTATAGTAATAGTATGCTTTTACCTATTTTTTGTTGATTTTTCATGAATCTACGATAAACATTTACAAGAGGGGCCGGAATCATGCAAAGGCTGTTTGCGGGAATACAGATAATGAGATGACGNGAGATGACGGGGTTCGAACCCAGAACCAGGTGGCTATTTTGAAGACCACCGTTGAAGTAACCGGTAAGATCACCGTATAATTCTTATTCCGCCTACTACGACGTATCTCAAGTGGGTATCAAGGGAGTCTGTTCGTTATCTACGTTGCGGCCAACAGCGTACTTTTAGCCCTCGGGGGCGCGGTTCGATCACCGCCACAGCTTCGGTGGTATGCGGATCGCTGTCGACCAAGTCGATACCATACTGTACCTGGCGGAGTCTCTTGTGGTTCGCCACTACCAGTCCTAGTGCTTAAATTACCGGTTTCCATGAATGATCAGAATGCCCTCTTGACTGTTCATCACAAAGGAATACTATTAAAAAGAAGTTTCTGGTCGTCGACAAAATACGCAGGGCATTTCACCCTGATATGCATCTCGCAGGTTGAACTGCTACTTGCGATTCAATTAACCGGAATGGTTAATCGGGTGCAAAACCTCACAGGTACGGTAAATGCCAGTTGTTGTTAAGTTCGTTCTGCAACATTCATTACTATCTGATCCCAGGTGGCTTTAGTAGGTAAACTCATTCTATAGCTACTGCTGGTAAGCGAGCAGCAAGCGTCACGTTGCGAATTCCCTGAGGGCGAGAGATTTTCCGATTTACACGATGCAATCCCAACACAACAATTGCCGAAAGTTTTATTTACTCTCCAAAAATGGGATCTATTGTCGTCATTTTCGAGAACAAATGGTGAGGTAGCAAACGCGATATTTTAAGGGCGGTTGTTCGATGATGAGCCATTCAGGGTCGCCTGCTAATATATATTTTGCCCCATAGTTTTGACTAAAATTACTTGTCTTTAGTTGCAGCTTTTTTTTGGTCGGGAAGTGGTGTCTCGGGTTGACCGGTTACCTTACTCCTGCATCGTGTGAAATGCTCTTATATGACCAAGCGTCTCAAATAGCCTCTGCCGAGGAAACCCCATTCGCTGCCTTATTCACACCGCAAAGATGTCTTGCCATTAACAAGGGGACGAAAATCGAACAAAACGGTGAATGAACCGCTGACAGTTCTACCAAGAGGGTGGATAAAAAAATCACTGTCAGTTGAGTTTTTATAACCACTAACCCTGCACGTTCATGCGCCGGTTTTAGTTGCTCTTTTGGTGCCCCATTTGGATAAAACAGCAGAATGAAGGTTATAATGTTGAAAGTAAATTCAAGCAGAAGATGGAGATTCATACAGAATAGTGAGAGGAGAATGATGGATGGATACATGAGCGCCACTGTTTCCGACACCCAGCCATATCACTCAGTGTATCTTACCGTCGGAGACAATCATCCCCAGGTCCTCAGGCAGGGAACCTAACAAGGCCTATGTGAGCCAGTCTCCTGGTCAGGGTTTTCATACCCTCATGCCAGGTCTTAGTTTGATCAACATTGATCTTTTTCCGACCGGTACCAGCCTTGGCAAACATCGCTCGTCGCGGCAAACCATCTGGTGAAATGGGTAACACATGCCTCAACCAACATATTCTATGCAGGTCGAAAACTTGCTCCAGTGAACGACCGCGAATGTCTATAACTCTACGCCTAACCTCAGCATAGGTCGTCCAGTTAACCAGACGCGTGCAATGCGACGCAGAGAACGATGTTCAAACACCGATAATCTATTTTTAACCTGTTCCCGTAGTGGCCAAGTCTCTGCATCGTAGAGGAGAACTGGCCAAACTACAGCAGCGTACACTTGACCCTTCACAGACAACCGGATGTCGCGACGGCGACACAGGTGTCTCAAGTTGGCGAATGCCAACCGAGCCTTCTGTATGCGAGCTGACACTTCATCCGTGATGCATCCACCGGGTGAGATGTAGCTGCCCAGATAGCAAAATTTGCCTACTTCCCCAGTTAGAGTCAGGCTGGGCGCTGGACCAACCCAATCTCGTAGTAGCATTTTACACTTTGAAGCTGTAAAACGCATACAGAACGTGGACATACGATCACTCAAAGTATCCAGAAAAGCTTGCAACTTACTTGGATCTTCACTTAGTAGTAGAATGTCGTCTGCATACTCTAGATCAGACAGTCTGCCACCTCGAAGTGAATCGATGCCACTATCCTCGCACGAAGACAAGGCTGTTTCCATAATCAAATCCATAACGAAGTGAAATAGAAATGCAGAGAGAGGGAAACCCTGTCGAACACCACTTTCTGAAATCCGCTTTCAGGTCGAGGAAGATGGAAATGGTGGGTCAATGAAAGGAGTGTCTGTTCGACAGAGTATGATACCACCGAGAAGTTTAGATGCAATGTTGATTAAACTAATGCCTCTGTGGCTTTCACAGGAGGATCTGTCAACTTTCTTGTAAATCGGTATGATAACCGATTCACACCATGTAGTTGGAACCTCTGCCCTCTCCCACACTGAACCGACGAAATTTATTAAATCAAAAATTAAGGCTGGACCTCCATCCTTAAAAACCGATCGGGACAGCCCTTCGGGGCCGGAAGCTTTATACCGGCTCATGTAACTTATTTCCCGGGTAACCTGCATTTCAGTCGGAGAACAGATGTCAGCTGGCAGTATTTGAGCAGTTAAACCGGGTGGGGAGGTCCTGTGTCGAAGGAGACCAGCTGAACTGTGCCTGAAAACCTTCTGTCCAACATTCCTGAATTTGGATCAGTGTCCCGTCAGACTCCTAAATTACCTCACTTACGCCTGGTTGCCTTGATCCTGAACATCCAATTCTCGCGGTCATCCCCAGACTTTGATGAGCTGGCGTTTAAAGGATTTCCACGCCTTGTCGTAGTTTAAATCCGAAGGAAAGGCTCTGCGAGCGTTCAGCAGGGCAAACGAGATCGAGGAGATCCATCGTTTCTCATTTGTTCGTGCGTCAGCATTTGCCGTTGCTTTTATCGACATTTGGATAGCTTCCTTGATTGCCGACCAGTGTTCATTGAGACCTCCCGCTGATTATT